CCGTGGGCGCCTGGCTGCGGCGGGGGTACCCCCCTGCACCCCGCAAGCAGGAGAGGGTCCCCCGGTGCCAGATGCCTGTGGGATGCTGGTACTTCTCCCAGCTCCCAAGGACCATCAGAGCATCGCTGCAAACACCCTGCACGGCCCCATCGTCCCGGACAGATGTCCCCACCAGTTCCCCACGTTGGCAGGGGGGGTGACAAGATGGTGACGAGGCTCCATCAGCCACCAAGGGCAGCCAGGCCAACTCCTGCATCACCTCTGGGATGGGCAACCACCCCGTTGCCCAACCCTGTGTCCTGGAGGAGCGGTCCCCAAGCCTGACCCCCCCACCACCTTCACCCCGTGTTCCCACCGATGTCCCCAGCCCTCGCAAAACGCCCGGTGTTGGTAGGAAACCAGAAAACGCCAAGCTCTGCTGCTCCCAAGGGGGGTTTTGTTGCCCCATGGCTCCCCTGGTGCAAACCAGTCCAAGGAGGGTGCTGAGGGGACCTGCACCCCCCACCCTGTGCCACAAGCCATCCCCCAGACCCTCTTTCCCAGGGGTCTCCAACGAGCACCCTGCAGGTGATCTCCACTGGCCGTAGGCAGGTCCAAGCAGAACAGAGATCCTTGAAGGGCCGTGGGGTAACAGACTCCAAATAACAGCAGGAGGACTTGGCCACGGGGCTGGGGTGGTGGCTACTGAGCCCCATCCCGGATCAGGACCAGCGTAAGGGCAGCTGGATCCCACCAGAGATGTGAAGCGTGGGCTCCTCGCAGCCTCATGTGAGGGACCATCTCGCCCAGAGCCCTTCTAGATGTATGGAAGAAGGTGATGGGAATGAGTTTGGGATAAGCCACCCTTCGGGTTGGGTCCTCTCTCTCCTGGGCCAGCTCTGCAGCGAGGAGGGGACCCTCCAGCAGCACGGCCAGGAGCTTTCCGGCCATGAGGAATTACACAGCCATCGATTTTTGCCATTAGAGGGGGTGTGGCGGGAGCAGATGCGCTGCAAGCAGAGCCACGCAATGAATAATTCACGGCCAGAGATGACGAAGCCCGTGGCCAGGCTGGGGAAGCCTCTCTGTGTCCTCTGCTTCTGCCCCAGGGCATCAAATGTGGGCTGAGACCAGAGCCCTTGGTCTCCAGGACCTGGGGGGGGTGTCATCTCTGCACCCTGAGCTGGTCCCAACAGATGGAGAACGACAAGACCCCAGAGCTGCTCCATGAGGACATGTGGGCAAGGGGTCTCCTGACCCATCATGCTGCCCCCGAGGTGGCCTGGCTTGTCTCCTGGTTGTAGCTGGACGTTGCTGTCCTGGCTTGCACCAGTGGCACAGGCCAAGATGCCTTTCGTGGGGCTAAGATGCCACTCGTGGAGCAGAGACACCCATTGTGGGGCAGGGACACCCCTGAGGGAGCACTGTGATGCTCCTGCCATGCCCAGCTGGGACTGGCATGCTGTGTCCTGTCATCCCCCACCGTGCCTGGCCGTGCAGCCCCCCAGGACTGGCTCCCAGGCCGCCTTCTCCACCACCCTAGTGGCTGTGGGCACCCACAGGCACCGGTGGGCACCTGTGGGCAGGACAAATCCCCTCCCTGGTTGCGCCCTGTGCCAAGGGCAGACCCCAGGGAAGGAGGAGGATGGGGCTCTGGGGGACAGAACCCAGGTCTCTCAGTGAGACTGGTCCAGCGCCAGGAGGATGGGTTGAGTTTGCCAGGTCTCAGCTGCGGTGCTGGCGAGCCCCGAGGCAGCAGCCTGGAGGCCCCGGGCGAGGGTGGCAGGGCCGGCGGCGGCAGCCAAGGAGTTAATTTCCCAGCCTCGCCGCATGAATCCGGAGCTATTAATACTCGCAGGCTGGTGGAGCCGTCAGAGCCAGCGGCTGCTCCGCCGGAGAGACCAGCCCCGCCGAGACACAGCTCCCCGGCCACACAACAACTTTCCTCCACCAGCGTGCGGGGCTCCCGGCACGGCCACCTGCCTGCCCGACACTGCCGGGCACTGCCGGACCTCGCCAGACCCCACCAGACCCTGCTGGACTTTGCTGGAGTCCATCAGATCCTGTCGGACCCTGCTGGACCCCACCGCTGCCCGACACTGCCGGGCACTGCCGGACCTTGCCAGACCCCACCAGACCCTGCCGGACCTTGCTGGACTCCATCAGACCAAGGTGACACCTCGAGGGATCCATCACCCACCATGAGCTCCCATGGGACACCCACCAGGAGCCACACGGATTCATGACCAGCCGCTCAGTCCCTCGCTTTGGCGGGCGCTGGGCAGCAGCTAATGGGTTTTTTTATCGAGCCCCCTTTTTTTCCCCCGTGTTCCTGCTCCTCCCCGCTCAGCCCATTAGCTGAGGCATTAAATTTTAACATTTTTCGTTGCTCCTTGCAGCCTGTTCCTGGTGAGTGGGTGCCTGGGTGGGTGCCAGGGCCCTGGCACTGCACCCAAGGGACCGTGGGCGCCTGGCTGCGGCGGGGGTACCCCCCTGCACCCCGCAAGCAGGAGAGGGTCCCCCGGTGCCAGATGCCTGTGGGATGCTGGTACTTCTCCCAGCTCCCAAGGACCATCAGAGCATCGCTGCAAACACCCTGCACGGCCCCATCGTCCCGGACAGATGTCCCCACCAGTTCCCCACGTTGGCAGGGGGGGTGACAAGATGGTGACGAGGCTCCATCAGCCACCAAGGGCAGCCGGGCCAACTCCTGCATCACCTCTGGGATGGGCAACCACCCCGTTGCCCAACCCTGTGTCCTGGAGGAGCGGTCCCCAAGCCTGACCCCCCCACCACCTTCACCCCGTGTTCCCACCGATGTCCCCAGCCCTCGCAAAACGCCCGGTGTTGGTAGGAAACCAGAAAACGCCAAGCTCTGCTGCTCCCAAGGGGGGTTTTGTTGCCCCATGGCTCCCCTGGTGCAAACCAGTCCAAGGAGGGTGCTGAGGGGACCTGCACCCCCCACCCTGTGCCACAAGCCATCCCCCAGACCCTCTTTCCCAGGGGTCTCCAACGAGCACCCTGCAGGTGATCTCCACTGGCCGTAGGCAGGTCCAAGCAGAACAGAGATCCTTGAAGGGCCGTGGGGTAACAGACTCCAAATAACAGCAGGAGGACTTGGCCACGGGGCTGGGGTGGTGGCTACTGAGCCCCATCCCGGATCAGGACCAGCGTAAGGGCAGCTGGATCCCACCAGAGATGTGAAGCGTGGGCTCCTCGCAGCCTCATGTGAGGGACCATCTCGCCCAGAGCCCTTCTAGATGTATGGAAGAAGGTGATGGGAATGAGTTTGGGATAAGCCACCCTTCGGGTTGGGTCCTCTCTCTCCTGGGCCAGCTCTGCAGCGAGGAGGGGACCCTCCAGCAGCACGGCCAGGAGCTTTCCGGCCATGAGGAATTACACAGCCATCGATTTTTGCCATTAGAGGGGGTGTGGCGGGAGCAGATGCGCTGCAAGCAGAGCCACGCAATGAATAATTCACGGCCAGAGATGACGAAGCCCGTGGCCAGGCTGGGGAAGCCTCTCTGTGTCCTCTGCTTCTGCCCCAGGGCATCAAATGTGGGCTGAGACCAGAGCCCTTGGTCTCCAGGACCTGGGGGGGGTGTCATCTCTGCACCCTGAGCTGGTCCCAACAGATGGAGAACGACAAGACCCCAGAGCTGCTCCATGAGGACATGTGGGCAAGGGGTCTCCTGACCCATCATGCTGCCCCCGAGGTGGCCTGGCTTGTCTCCTGGTTGTAGCTGGACGTTGCTGTCCTGGCTTGCACCAGTGGCACAGGCCAAGATGCCTTTCGTGGGGCTAAGATGCCACTCGTGGAGCAGAGACACCCATTGTGGGGCAGGGACACCCCTGAGGGAGCACTGTGATGCTCCTGCCATGCCCAGCTGGGACTGGCATGCTGTGTCCTGTCATCCCCCACCGTGCCTGGCCGTGCAGCCCCCCAGGACTGGCTCCCAGGCCACCTTCTCCACCACCCTAGTGGCTGTGGGCACCCACAGGCACCGGTGGGCACCTGTGGGCAGGACAAATCCCCTCCCTGGTTGCGCCCTGTGCCAAGGGCAGACCCCAGGGAAGGAGGAGGATGGGGCTCTGGGGGACAGAACCCAGGTCTCTCAGTGAGACTGGTCCAGCGCCAGGAGGATGGGTTGAGTTTGCCAGGTCTCAGCTGCGGTGCTGGCGAGCCCCGAGGCAGCAGCCTGGAGGCCCCGGGCGAGGGTGGCAGGGCCGGCGGCGGCAGCCAAGGAGTTAATTTCCCAGCCTCGCCGCATGAATCCGGAGCTATTAATACTCGCAGGCTGGTGGAGCCGTCAGAGCCAGCGGCTGCTCCGCCGGAGAGACCAGCCCCGCCGAGACACAGCTCCCCGGCCACACAACAACTTTCCTCCACCAGCGTGCGGGGCTCCCGGCACGGCCACCTGCCTGCCCGACACTGCCGGGCACTGCCGGACCTTGCCAGACCCCACCAGACCCTGCCGGACCTTGCTGGACTCCATCAGACCCTGCCAGATCCTGCCACATCCCACCAGATCCTGTCGGACCCTACCAGACCCTGCCAGACCCCACCAGACCCCACCAGCTCCTGCCACAACTCACCAGCTCCTGCCAGACCCCACCAGCTCCTGCCGGACCCCACCAGACCCTGCCAGATCCTGCCACGTCCCACCAGATCCTGCCACATCCCACCAGCTCCTGCCAGACCCCACCAGGTCCTGCCAGACCCCACCAGACCCTGCCAGATCCTGCTGCACCTCACCAGCTCCTGCTGGACCTCACCAGCTCCTGCCGGACCCCACCAGCTCCTGACACATCCCACCAGCTCCTGCCAGACCCCACCAGCTCCTGCCGGACCCCACCAGACTCTGCCAGATCCTGCCACGTCCCACCAGTTCCTGCCAGACCCCACCAGCTCCTGCCACATCCCACCAGCTCCTGCCAGACCTCACCAGCTCCTGCCAGACCCCACCAGGTCCTGCCAGACCCCACCAGACCCTGCCAGACCCTGCCACATCCTACCTGGTGGATCCCACCTGCCACAAGCCCCCGTGCAGGGGACACTTTCCTGGCAGCGTTGTGACACCGTCCTCTGTGCCCTCCACCATCCGGCGCCCCATGGACGCTGGGCACCGAAGAGGGGCAGCCGCTTCCCCCAGCCTCTGAAGCACCCCAGGGCTTGGTGGGGGGCTCACCCTGCCCTGCCGGACCCCTGGGCTTGGGCGATGCCACCCCGAGTCCCCGCTCACACCCCCTGAGGACTGGCCGTGCTGCAGGATGGGTGCTGGGGTGGCATCGGGCACCGCCAGCCCCGGAGCCAGGGCGTCGCAGGACACGGCACAGCCCGGTGCTGCCTCCGTGCGCGGTGCCCCGGCGCTCAGCCCGGCCCCGTGAAGGGCTCCCCAGCATCATGGCCCCGGGCGGGCAAGCGTGAGCCTCTGGCCACCGGCAGCACTTGGTGAGGAGGAGGAGGAAGATGCCAACGCGCCTCCGGCACTGCCCGGCCTGTGGTCCCCCTCACCCGGGCACGGCGGCCACCGGAGCCGAGCGATGGATTCCTTCTGCTTCGTCTGCTTCCAGAAAGAGGAGCTGCAGCCCCTGCACCTGCACAGGTCAGTGCCACCCCCCGAGGGGACGCGCCGGGAGCCTGTGAGGGGCACGGGAGCAGGGCACCGAGCCGGGCTGGGGGGCGATGCCTGGTGTGGGAGCTACCATGGCCGTGACAAAGTTTTCCTTGGAGCAGGTGCATCCTCCTGGCCAGAGGAGACCAGGGCCGGTGCCACGCCGTACTGGGGAGAGCTGTGTGCCCAGCACGTGTGTGTGTCTGGCTTGTGCTTCCCCAGCAGCAGCTCTTGGGGGCATGGGGTGGGCGTCCTGTGCCATCCCGTGCCGTGCCATGCCATCCCATGCCACCCTGTGCCATCCCGTGCCATGCCGTGCCATCCCGTGCCATGCCATGCCATGCCATGCCATCCTGTGCCATCCCGTGCCGTGCCATGCCATGCTGTGCCGTCCCATGCCATGCCATCCTGTGCCATCCCGTGCCGTGCCATGCCATGCTGTGCCGTGCCATGCCATACCATGCCATGCTGTGCCATCCTGTGCCATCCCGTGCCGTGCCATGCCATGCTGTGCCGTCCCGTGCCATCCCATGCCATGCCATCCTGTGCCATCCCATGCCATCCCATGCCATGCTGTACCGTCCCATGCCATCCCATGCCATGCCATGCTGTGCCGTCCCGTGCCATGCCGTGCTGTCCCGTGCCATGCCATGCCATGCTGTGCCATGCCAAGCACCGTGTGCCCATGGGAGCAGGGCTGTGGGGCAGCAGTGTGTGACCCCACAGCATCCCGGCGCCATCCCACCCTCTCCTGCGCCCCCCGGCCAGACTCTGCCCCCCAGGGACCTCCTGCCACCCCTGGGGCAGGGGCTGGCTGGGGCCCACGAAGGTCCCCAAGGCCTGGCCATCTGGGCAGTGGCACCGGTGCCCCCCCTCCTTCCCTCCCCACCCTCTGCCACCCGCGCTGCTGAGCGGCGGCCAAGGCGGATGTGCCGGTGCCGGAATTAGCCGGGCAGCCGGCAGGGACACGAGGTGTGAACGCTGGCACATGGCGTGCCCAACTGCTCCTCCGTGGCACCGAGCCACTGCCACCTCCCGTCCCGCGCTGCCCTCGCCGGGGCAAAGCCCCCACCCCGCCACGGCTGGGACCACCTCCCCGCCATGAGCACTGGCCACCCACGGCTTGGTGAGGAGGAGGAGGAAGATGCCAACGCGCCTCCGGCACTGCCCGGCCTGTGGTCCCCCTCACCCGGGCACGGCGGCCACCGGAGCCGAGCGATGGATTCCTTCTGCTTCGTCTGCTTCCAGAAAGAGGAGCTGCAGCCCCTGCACCTGCACAGGTCAGTGCCACCCCCCGAGGGGACGCGCCGGGAGCCTGTGAGGGGCACGGGAGCAGGGCACCGAGCCGGGCTGGGGGGCGATGCCTGGTGTGGGAGCTACCATGGCCGTGACAAAGTTTTCCTTGGAGCAGGTGCATCCTCCTGGCCAGAGGAGACCAGGGCCGGTGCCACGCCGTACTGGGGAGAGCTGTGTGCCCAGCACGTGTGTGTGTCTGGCTTGTGCTTCCCCAGCAGCAGCTCTTGGGGGCATGGGGTGGGCGTCCTGTGCCATCCCGTGCCGTGCCATGCCATCCCATGCCACCCTGTGCCATCCCGTGCCATGCCGTGCCATCCCGTGCCATGCCATGCCATGCCATGCCATCCTGTGCCATCCCGTGCCGTGCCATGCCATGCTGTGCCGTCCCATGCCATGCCATCCTGTGCCATCCCGTGCCGTGCCATGCCATGCTGTGCCGTGCCATGCCATACCATGCCATGCTGTGCCATCCTGTGCCATCCCGTGCCGTGCCATGCCATGCTGTGCCGTCCCGTGCCATCCCATGCCATGCCATCCTGTGCCATCCCATGCCATCCCATGCCATGCTGTACCGTCCCATGCCATCCCATGCCATGCCATGCTGTGCCGTCCCGTGCCATGCCGTGCTGTCCCGTGCCATGCCATGCCATGCTGTGCCATGCCAAGCACCGTGTGCCCATGGGAGCAGGGCTGTGGGGCAGCAGTGTGTGACCCCACAGCATCCCGGCGCCATCCCACCCTCTCCTGCGCCCCCCGGCCAGACTCTGCCCCCCAGGGACCTCCTGCCACCCCTGGGGCAGGGGCTGGCTGGGGCCCACGAAGGTCCCCAAGGCCTGGCCATCTGGGCAGTGGCACCGGTGCCCCCCCTCCTTCCCTCCCCACCCTCTGCCACCCGCGCTGCTGAGCGGCGGCCAAGGCGGATGTGCCGGTGCCGGAATTAGCCGGGCAGCCGGCAGGGACACGAGGTGTGAACGCTGGCACATGGCGTGCCCAACTGCTCCTCCGTGGCACCGAGCCACTGCCACCTCCCGTCCCGCGCTGCCCTCGCCGGGGCAAAGCCCCCACCCCGCCACGGCTGGGACCACCTCCCCGCCATGAGCACTGGCCACCCACGGCGAGGTCCTGGGGGTGACAGTGCCGGGCTGGTGGCCAGGCAGGGCTATTGGCCGGGCTGTGGGCACGTGCCAGTCCAAGCAGTCTGTCCTTCCTCCCTGGTGTGCAAGAAGCCGTAGGATTTGGGTTTGGGTGTAAATCACCTTTTTTGGACCCTCGATTGCCATGGGTCGTGCCCCACGAGCTCGGCGCTGGCTGGGAAGGTGCTGGGAGGTGTTGGGGGGACACCAGGGGACGCCGGGGTGACACAGGGTCCTTGGGTGTGGGTGCTGCTGGAGAGGGGTGCGGAGACATCTTACCGCCCAACGTGGGGTTGGAGCTCACGGGCTGCACCCAGCCTGTGCTGGGCCACAGGTGGCACGAGTTGGGCGTTCTCAGCCAGGGAGGGGACAACCCAGGGTCACAGTGCAGTGGCCTGAGCTGTGGGGTGGCCGTGGGGACCACCCCTTCCATGCGTGTAGGGGGGGGACACCCCAGGGCGGACACCCGGGCCTTGTCCCCACAGACCTCTCCCTGTCCTGCCCCACTTCAGTGGGGCCGGGGGGGACGACTGCCTGTCCCCAGACACCCCCCCCTCCCCGAGTTGTCACTAGCCTGTCCCTAACAGCTTTTCCCTGGGGCTGCCGCCAGCCCGTGGGGACAGGGCTGTCATCGCCTGCCACCGCCAGCACAGCGGTTACCGGGGTGGGCTCCCCCCAGGGAGGGGACAGGATGGGGGGATGGGGGGTGACAGAGGGACCCACCAGCTGCTCCTCACTCTGCCACCGCCCCACCGAATGTCCCTGTCCCTGTCCCCCGAGGCGGAGGGAGCGCGTGGGCCGTGGGTGCTGGCGGCAGCGTGCCTGTCCCTGCAGCCTCGCTAGATGGTGCCAGGAGAACGGGCTGCGAGCGGCGGGCGGCGGGCC